CAAAGAATTTCGTGGTGTTTCCGCCTATGATGGGTTATAGTGTATACTGTTAATGAAGAGGAGGAAGTCCGTGTCTTTTGGGGATTTGGATATATCCGAGGAAAACCGTTGGACACAAAGGCAATGATACAGTGGTTATGTACCACAAGAAACAAAGGGCCAATATTATGCATATTGTTATTCTGAAATATACAGTTAGGTGTGTGCCTGAAATGGAGAACTCATAACAAATCCAAAAGAGATTCCATACTTAATTTCTGGCACCCAGGAGGCTTTCTTTGCATTATGTGGAGGTCAGTGAAACTCAGCAGATGTAGCGAAAGTCGACGTTGTTCCACGGAAAAGAGGAAATGAGAAACGTTCCCTTTTCTCTGAAAGACTTACCACTCTTCCACGTCAATCAAACAGGGACAGGAAACAGGATGTGCACTTTCACCTGCCATCAGACTTTTAAAGAGGTAATCTCGTGTTATGGTTTGTTCGCAGTCTGAAAATGGACCAGTCAGAACTGGTCTGCGGTAACGTAGTTATAGTCGCACAAGCGGAGGACCAATCGATTTTATCTCCAAAATACTTTCTAAATTTGGTCATCATTATTGTGCACAAATTCACGCATTTCTTAAGTGAATACAGCTTTTCTTATCAAATCAATAAGTTCTCATCTAAGTGGTAGTGGGGAAATCACTTGGTATTTTGTATAAAATATGTGCCAAACAAACGTTATCAGTGATCACTGTAGCTTTAAACTTTCGTAAAGTTTGTGACCAAATGACAAGTTCACTGGAACAGAAGATTCACTGTCATAAAGAGTGACACATTTGATCGCATCATGCAAGTCTTCATTCAGCTAAAAATGAAGAGGAACAACAGGACACTCCACCTCCATTCAATTAACTAAGCATGGACAGGACACTCGGATACCAAATCAAAATCCAACAATATTGACGTTGTGGCCTCACTTCCTTCATAAGACCTGTTATAAACACTAGGGTCGTACAGTAGGTTGTTGGTGATTCGAAAACTAATAATAACATATTTATTCCTATCTATGTAGGACACACCAGTTTTACAGGCATAGATAAGTAAGGTCCTGGGTTCGAACCCCTGTGGGTACGTACTGATGAAGAGTCCCAAACTAGGACGAAACAGGTGTCCAGTACTCCCATGTTTCCAATGGTTCTCTAATCAATGTCAGCTCATGATGAAATCTTGTAACTAATAAATTACATAAATTTGATTTATGATGAAATCGCATGGTTGCTGTAAGTAGCCAAGTAGTGTTTACCCTCTGTGTGATTTGCAAGGTTTATTTGATTTAGTGAACGGCAATGAGCGACGAATGCTCCTGGGAGTGTTTTGTAACAAAAAACCATTACTTAATACTGTTTTCCTTTAGCTCATTCAAGAAAACACCTGGAAGTTCATTCCGTGGAGCAAGAGGCACAACTTCTATCAGGACTCGATTTAAACGATGACAAATAGGCTGTTTGTTTGTGATGGCTTGGCCTGCGCTTTCTGATTTCTACCATTGTATGAAATACATGCTGTTACAGAGCTCGCGTTCTGCTTTTCTTCCTTGCATGGCTGTTGCTGATTGTGTTAAGGAAATGGTGTCGGAGGTGCCTAATTGTCCAAAAACGATGCGCTTTCCACCAGGTGGCAAAACCCCCAGGCTTTTTCCAGAGGATTGCGGACCTACTGTTCCCAGTGTGCCTGCTGTTCGCCAACTTCCAGTCCTTGAACTGAACTCAGACCGCTAAGTGTGGAAGAAACGCATGTAGGCGTTCCTCACTCTAGCTCCGCTGGGCAACCATTACATCCACGAGCTCAATTCCGTCTCAGATGAGGCCTACGCTAGGGCTGACACTGCTTGTTTTTGTAGCACGAACCCCTCATCAAAAGCTGGAACATACAGGGCGTCCATTTCGACTGGCATTTGGGCTCCGACGACTCGATGCTGAAATTTTTTCGCCGATGATATTTAGCAGGAGAGAGTCCTATGGATTGCTTCCGCGTTTTGCACACTATGGTGGTCCACGCTGACATCTCTGGGGACTCAGCTAACAAAGGAAGAATGCTACGCACAAGGTTCGTCTACGGCTTACTTCCCGGTGATCTGCCCACACAACTTCTGTGGCTACCCCTTGAGCAGACGATCCCTTGGTTCATAGGCGCCGAACAAGATAATGCAGCCGCAGCCAGCAACTCCTTCTGTACAGTACCTATAAAACCTACAACAGCTTCCTTTGGTTAACCTTGCCACAATGCTCCTGCGCGTAACCGGCAAAAACGTGAAGACAGCAATGCCTTCGTATGTTACAATTGTAGAGGGTTCGGCAAGAAGGCGCGTAAGCGCGGCCGTAACTGCCGACCTCAACGAAGCAAGTCCTCGTTTTATAATTTATCTACATATTCATGTGATGGGAAACCACTAACGTTATGGGGACGCATTACCGCAGTGCCCTCTAAGACCTTCTTCAAAACTGGCGCATCGATTTCACTCGTCAATACCTCATTCATCCGACGCTTACCCCAACACTCACCGCTAGTAGCCACTCACAACTTCTTGACAGCAGCTTACAGGGCTAAAATGGAAGCCCGATCTTCCATGTGCTTGCAGGTGAACCTTGGAGATCTATTATTATTTCTTTTGATTCCTAGAGGAACATAGGGCTTCAGCCGTGCGTCTCCATTGCGTTCGGTTCTCTGCTAGAGTTTCCACTTGGCTCCAAGTCTGCCCACATTATTTCATCTCCTCTTGACATGACCTCCTCCAAGTCACCCTTGCACTGACAACCAACTCGCCACTTCCCTTTCGGGTTCCACTCGAGGGCTTACTTCGGAAATAGAACGACTGAAGCTGTCTATAGAAGAGCTGAAGACTAAGATGCTGGAAATAGGGTGTAGTAAGGCTATGAACACAGGATGTTCGGAAAACTTCGCCAAAACTTCTGAACTATCAGCACAGATAAGTGACGCAGAATTGCAGCCCTCTGAACTCACACCTTTGAGAACCCTAACCAGAATCATACACCCAGCCGAACTTGACACACAATGGGTAACCAAGGTAGTTATCCTGATCAACATCGTCACAACAGGTTTCATTGAAAGACTAGATGCAAAACTAAGTGTGATAGTCCACAATTTACCGGATAATCGGGGATTTAAAAAAGCTATAGACTGTCTGGACAACAACAACAACTTATGAATAGCTTGGACGAACTAGGACAAGGAAAGGGAGGCAGATTTACGAATTTTTACGGGAACGCACCTTGGGTATCTTCAGGATGGTTCCAATTGCTTCGGTTGTATGTACAAGACGAACTCGTAGGTTGAAATTAAAAATGGTCAAAATAAGGTAGACAACTTTAAGTGTTCACCAACTTCCATTTTATGATTACTGTCTTTACGAGTGCTAAGACAGTGAACTCTTACACCCTTCGTTCCTTCCTTAATCTCGCAGGATAATGCTCGAAAGCCTGAAAGTGAACACGACCAATTGTACTCTCAAAGTTAATAGATCCCAGTGGGCAGTAAAAGCGTGAGTATACATAAAGGATTTAGTTTACCATTATTTCCCGGACGCGAAATTCGAATGATTAAAGAGAGTCACCGCACATCTTCTACACTGAATGCCTAGTTTGAGACATTAATTGGGAGATATGACACTATTTTAACAATGCTGTTTTCGAGAAATGGCAAACATAAGATGCAGGGATTTCATTTAGCTGTTTATACAGCAACTTAAAAGTAAATTGGTATGTTTGCCAAGGAACATCTTAAAGGAATGGCGAAATGTAGGAGATGGATTTTTACTATGTTTGCGTCTATGGGAGATGTAGTAATGATTATAATGTGCACAAGCTATTCACTGAACCAGTTGTGCTTCTACAGTTTAGACCCGAATATGTTCTCAAGGTAGACTAAGAATAACAATACTAGCATCTGAGACACAATGCATATCCTGGGGCTGAATTCGGGAGGAGACAAATGTGTCCTTAGCAAACAAGAAAACCGACAAAAAAAGCCAGTAGTGTGCAACAGCGTTGTTGACAAGCAACTTCCCTTGGTTTATCAGTCCAGTGAAACAGGCAAAGCCTGCACTAATTGCTGTAAATTTTTACAACCTAAATATATTATTTTAGTGTTTTTGCGGTCACGCACTGAAAGAATGTAGGATACAAAATACCCGACTAACTAAAGTCATTTTATAGACCCATAAGAAATAATGCTCACATGCGTGAGTTTTAGTGGTAGCTGAATAGTTTGTCCCGGCCGGGGTCTCAACACCTGACAAGAAGGAAATGTGGAAAAAGTAGTAGTGGCTTCTCGATATCGTGTCAGTCAAGTTACAACTTAAACAGACACTGGTATCATCGAGAAGTTTGTTGGATATTTAGTCATCCTGGTTAATGCAGACTTAGTCCTAATGGATTTGTACTACACTTATTTCGAGGCGGTAACTCCGTAAGGCTAAGTTCCATCAAACTGATCGATCAGTGAAGTCCTTTTTATTTGGTGAATCACTAAGGACCAACAGAAATATTCATGAAAATTTCGTGGACATTCTGCTGTAACACAATGAGCGACATTCACACACTAGGAGGAGAATCGAAACGAGAGCTCTGTAAGAGCGTGTATATGGTACAATGGCGAAAATCAGGGAGCACAGGTCAAGCCATCACAAACAAAACAGTCTAGTTGTCATCACTGATATCGAGTCCTGATGGATGTTATGCCTTTTGCTCCACGGAATAGACACCTGGATGTTTTCCTGAAACGGAAAAGTGAAAACATTGTTAAGAACTCTATCTATAACAGTTTTTTATTTTGTTACAGTCCTAAGTATAACGTAACCATAAATTTTACATTTTTTATCTTATCAAAGTTATTCACTTTGAAATCCCCCAAAAATTCATCTATTGAAAATGTTACACTTGAATTTATAAGTGAGTTAAAAGTGTGTTGAGTACAAATTTGAGATCATACGTCTCGGATTGATGTTACATGAACTTCAGAGCTGGTACAGGAAGTGGAGGTTTGGTGAAGGGAAACGAGTTGATTTAGTTCTTATTGGCCCACCGGGTAGTGGCAAAGGAACACAAGTAAATCTACATCTTCAATATATCATGTTATAGGCCATAAAAATTGCTGAGCGCTATAAAATTTGCCATCTTTCAACTGGTACGCAGTCACGCATTTAACGAACTTTTGCAGGTGACCTACTCAGAGCTATAATATCCTCCGGAACAGAACTTGGTATGAAGATCAAAGGAATAACAGAGTCTGGAGGACTTGTATCGGATGACATAGTGTGTGGCTTGATTGCTGAAAAGATCGACTCTCCAGAGTGTAGAAAAGGAATGCTTCTAGATGGATTTCCACGGACCTTAGAACAAGCCCAGAAAGTAGGTCTTTAGAATTTTGTGAGTGAATAGTAGCTTGAAAAATTACTTGGAGAGCGTCAAGTACGATTGCTGTCTGCTTTGGAATTCAAGGTTGATCCCAGTGTATTGGAAAAACGTATATGCGGTAGACTATTTCATCTAGCTAGTGGTAGGTCATACCACGAATTGTATAATCCTCCGAAAGTTCCAAATATTGATGATGTAAGTTTACGTTCATTTTGTTTACTGCTGCTTTCTAAGGGTGGTTATCAATTATTTGTTTAGTAGTAACTAAACTGCATTCATTATACATGATCCCTTAAGATATATTACTTAGGACAGTAATTCTGGTGTTTTCTGATAGATAGGTGAACTAAAGATATTCTGTAAGCAGCAGTTTTACGTAATGGGTTGGTTTTCTCATAAGTTTTCACGATGTCTCACTTCATAAGAGCTCTATATATTTAAACTCTAAAACAGTTATCACTGTCATCTTTTGGAGTACTTGGTTGTGTATAGTTCTTTGGATAGTAAAGTGTTGTTAATTAGTTTCAAAACCTGTACGTCAACCAGAATTTGAGGACTTTAATTGCTAATCAGGTTTATACACTTCAAGATAGTCACGCAGCCATTAGTGGGTATTTTAGTAGCTAAGTTGACCTAATCAAGTGTGTTTGTGTGACATTGCTTGCGCGTGCTGAAATTAAAAAATGAGGACAAGAACAGTTGAAGTATCCTATGAAGCTGGAAGTTGCCACCGACTAGAGTAGCTCAGACTTGTTGCAGACTAATATGCACTGTTTCTTACACCATCGTAATCCGGATTGTGACCGAATTAAATAAATAGGAGTGATATCAACGACTTACATCAGTTCAAGAAGCATCTAACTACTGATAAAGCTGTAATTATGATCGCAGCTCTCCTCAAGACCTTAAGTATAAAAGGTTGGAGATTAGTATGAAACCAGGTTGTTCTTACTGACAGAGTGGTATAATACTAAGCGTTTCCCAACTTCGTTATATGTTTTCGTCGCGATTTCATTCTCGTCCGCTTCTTTTGACTTCAAATTTGAGATGTCGCAATTTAAACTGATTCCAGTTTAGGGAGCGTTCCAGCCGTGCTTGACGAGCAGCATTCCTACTCAAGCTTACTGGGAAAAATATTACACTCACATACATATTATTCCTTTGATTGGGAATTCATGATGCTTTATTATACAGATTGTATTCAAAAGTGATCATACCGCATTATAATTGTAACAGCAGTCGTATTATTTGAAATCCATGGTCCTGTCTATTGATGCCGCGTAGGTGTTACCTATATTGTAACAGTATGGAAGCAAAGGCCTTACACTTGTCTAAATTACTGTAACAGTCTCCATGGTAGCTGGCCTTTGAAGACCTTTAGGTGTATGTCTTATATTTAGGTGAGATAGTCAGTGATCTAGTCACAACATTAACTTTGGTTATTAAAATATGAGGAACTTATCGATAACAATTTTTGTACTACGAAATCTGGCTGGGACAGCAAAAATCCAATAGATAAAGTGAGTGTTGTCCGGAATTAGATCGTTTTAGGGTAGTACCAGCTTGCCACTAATTAACTTTAGATTTTGTGCTGTGATGTGATCATTCAATGATTGTTCATTTTCTATTTTTCCTGTGGAGATGTAGCTTATTGGTTTAGTCAGTCGACTTTCAATGTGCTCCAGGGTTAAGAAAATTTCGGTGTTATCATAGTACCTCAGAATCAACTCGTGCTTGCAGCCGGTACATAAACCTGTACAAGAACCTTGCGTTTTTCATTTTTTTCTTTTTATGTATTATTGATTGAGTTAACCAATGCTTTGTGTCACTGTTAATTTAAGTGAACTGTTTAAAACACAAGAAAAAGCACTCAATCTGTGGGCAGAAAAAAAACTACATTATCTGTTACGTTAACCCACAAAGCACAAGATGCTTTTTTACATAGTTATGGTCGTTAAATTTTGGATAGTTTTAAGTTCAACTGTAAGAAATTAAGTCAGGTACTGAAGTGGTTAATTTCTAACTGCGTGCGCTTAGCATTTAGATGCTTTGTTGAGGGAAACCTTGACTTGGGTCCCCTCGATCACAAAGTATGAAACTAGGGCTCAGATGTAGCCATACTCGATTTTTGTCGTGACACTTGATATGTTTATGCACTCTTTCTTTTATTACTTTGTTCATTTCTTTTTTCTGCTTCATGAGTGAGTATGTGCCTTATGATATGTGAACATCTGGACTACGACAAGGTGTCGGTATGCATTAAAATTGTTTCTATCACTGAGGAATATTAAGTCAACCTTAATAACATTATTAAATAATTAGGTTAGAAAGAATAACATTGAATGATTGCAAATTCGTCGGTAACATATGTCCAGTTGATGGAGCTACTATAATGTATGAGAAAACAATACTTTCCAGCTGAGTTGAATTTTTGGTTGCATCTCGGTACTGCTACTTCATTGACGAAGTAACGACCGTTCAGAACCATCATTAGAGGTCCTTAAGACGATTCGTAAAAGGTGCTAATTTCAATACTTTACCGAGTACTTATGCGCAAGACTTTATGTGGCACACTACTTTTTAGCACACAGCTGGGAGTAATACCTGATAGACTGTCATCTTAAACTGAATATTGTTTTTCAAAAAACCACTGTTTTTAAAGTAGTCTTGGAGTATTTACTTATCCTGGTAAATCTCTTGGATGTGAATAATTCTGTCTGATATTTAATTGATGTGTAGAATAATTTTTAGGGCACTCCAACATAAATGAATCACTTTTTATCAAATGTGCTGTTTCATGTGCTTAGATAAGATTTATCTCAGTTTAATTAGTGGATTTCATGATCCATACAAACTGAGCGAAATAACAACTGGTGTTGTGTATTTTACTGATTATTGTACTCACTAAGAGTTAAAATGATAAACCAGCAAAAAATTAATAATAATAATAATTTTTGCTTTATTCCAAAAACAGTATTAATGATACAGCAAGGAATTTTCAGCATTCAGTACAGTATTGCATCTAATTTACTCAAAAACGACAACAACAAACAAAAAAAGTAGATAAACGGAATAATTAATACATAATAATGATAACAAAACGTTTTTATAGGAGCTATGTAGCAATTACAGTAGAGGATAAGGAGAAAAATATAAAATTATAGTAATAATAGTAATAACAACTAAAATAAAAATAGCAAAGTTATAATTAAACGATAGAAAGGGTGACACCATAGAATTACAGAAAGATGAACAATGAAAGGGTCGATTCACTATGCTAATTACATAGTAACTTATATGTTTCACGTCTAACAGTGTCTTCATCACATAAAATACGGGCTAAGTACGGTATTGTAGAATTTTTGTACTTAGTGGTACGAGCATATAATTTCTTATATTGACTTCTCGTTCTACCTGATGAGATACAAGGGGATAATTGTGAATAAAGAGGGTGCAGAGGGTCTGACAGTACGGCCTTTGCCCAATTTTTACAGGAATTTACGTGTCTCTCGACTATGGTATTGGCGAGATCACGCAGTGGCAAACCACAAGCCCTACTCACAGCATTTAATACCCTTCGTAATACGGCATAGTCTTTTTTAAGAAGCCCAGGAAAGATTAATGGAGAACAATAAAGTAAAATGGGTAAAATACAGGAGTTTAAAAATCGCAGAACTAAAGGTTGGCTGATACCTTGTTGTCTTAACTTTTTAATGTAGAAGGTAAGACGAAACATTTTCTTAGAGACCAATAAAATGTGAGATGACCATGAAAGGTCCGAGGAAAGAACTAATCCAAGGTATTTAATGCTTGATTTGGTTTCAATTTCTGTACCATCTATGCTACAGGCATCATGGGAACTAACTAGTTCATGTATGTCACGTCGATGGTTGAAGGTAAAGTTAACTGCCTGACATTTGGAAGGATTTAACATAAGACCATTTGACTTAGACCACATGCTGATGTCCAACAAAAAGCTATTAAGTTAAGAGTGAAAACTCATTTTAATTACTGGTTGACACATGTGATGACTTCAGTTTTTTCCCCATTTTTTGTAGTTTTAACATGCAAAATATATTTCCTTGCTATATACTTTGCGATGTCTTTTGTAGATCACTGGTGATCGTCTTGTTCGTCGTCCTGATGATCGACCTGAGGCTTTAAAAAGGCGTCTGTTTGAATATGAGAAGAACTCAGCTCCCGTTCTAAATTTCTACAGATCCAGAAATAAACTGGTGCGAATAAATGCAAGTCAAGATGTTGAGAAAGTCTTTGAAGATATTCAGAAATGCATTAATGAGAGGATATCTCATCCACGTTAAATGTATGGAGTATTATTGACAAATCATTGTTTACCAGTTCGGTTTTGAAATGAATAAATTGAGTACCACTTGATGTTAAATCTTCCAGTGTGTTTAGCTTACCCTCTCTAGGTAGATTTTTATTAGGGCTGCGTAACCATTATTTTCATTTTTCTTAAACCGTTATGTTTGTCATATGTATCACTTCCTCTTGCATCATAACTTCTTCTAACCAACACTAAAAATGTGTTGTATCTGTCTAAAACACTTATATCGATTTCAAATATAAACTATTTTCTTACCAAAGTAACTTCTTAGAAAATAGACTTTCCAGTGTGTAATTGTTATTTGAATTCATATTCCCTTAGTAATGCGACGATTTCATTTTACATCATTTAGTTAATCAGGCTTTACTGCCCACTTCTCCTCTTCTCCATCGTGTATTGTTAAGTAGTTTACTGGATTTTTATTCTATGAGGTTTATTTATTATTCGCCTCTTTGTTTGTAAACACACTAAAAAGTAGTTGGTTGCATATTTTGTGAGTGATGGTGAGGAAGATAAGCTGAAAGTCTGTTCGAAGTGATGAGGTCAAAAGTTGAGAACGATACAGAAAGTTTGTAATTGTTGTTATTATTATAATTTTAGTCGGTAGGTCCCTCGAAATTTTAAAAATCTACTCTTTGTGACAAAAAACCAAATAATGCATACTGATTGTTTATCTTCAAGTCGTTTGGACATACAATTCTCATCTACTTATCGTCTTCTTTTTCGTACATTTGTATATGTTCATTTTGTGATCAGTCCGTTTGTGTTAGTTTTGAAGTGTGTCAATATGCATTTCTATGCAGGTTTCTACATTAATCTATTTGTTTTTATTTTGACTGTAAAAAACAACTACCAAATAATCAACCTTGGCTTCTGTTGTCATCTTTATGTGGAAATTTATTGTAGTTTTGAAGTTGTTTAATAGTTCACATAATAATACAACAATACAATACTTTGACGCAAGATAACATCATTTAATAATTAATATGTAGTCGGAGTTTTATAATTTTCAAGTTCATACTGTTTTCTGGTTTTCGCCAATGCACTGGGAAATGGGGTTTAAGATCGATGTCTTATGGTGTATTTTGACAAGATTCTACTGCTAATTCCCTTGATCTGATCATAGTTGCTACTGTTTCTTGTATTTCTTTTTATATCTTCATGAGTTCCTGCAGTGCTTCGTTTTGTGTTATGTAGGTACCTAATTGTCGTTTTACGTGAGTTTGCGCGGTTTCAACGCTGCTAGTTCATCGTAGTATCACAAATGCCTATGCATCAAGTATTCACATCACCTATACAAACGTTATTATCTTTATTCTTTCTCCTTTAGTCCCATTGAATTTAGCAAGAATTGAGTTTGCGTATCACTTCATTTTGATGGTTTTGGTATTAATATGTATGCTCTTACATAGTAAATGTGGCTCGTAGCCTTCTTAGTCCTAATAGCAAGTCCTTCTCCTTGTAGTATTTTTCTTCATCCTCGTAGTTCTTTACCCTGTGATTCTCTGATGTTAGTTTGGATACTTTCGTTCTAAACCATACAGAGTTTATTTTCATGTGCTTAGGGAGGGCGAGGAGGAGAGTACTGCATGAATCGTGTACATACTTCCCATCTGAAAACTATTCACTGAAGTTATGGAATCAACCTACTGAAGCGAAGAATACTGTTATTTGGCAACTGCATATATCTTATTCCAAAATTTTGCTAGTTCTTTGTCATTACTGCCACTGGCGTGTTAGTTATGCTTAGGAATGGGAATCAACCAACGGTGGCTAATCGTAATCTAGCGATTAGTAGTCATTTTGTTTAGTTTATAAATTATCATGCCTTAAATATTTTCTGTGCATCGCGTTGGCCTAGATCAATCTTTCCTTCATATGAATCAACAGGTATTTGTATTATTATTATTGTTTCCTTTAATTCCTAGAGGAACATAGGGCTTCAGCCGTGCGTCTCCATTGCGTTCGGTTCTCTGCTAGAGTCTTCACCTGGCTCCAAGTCTGCCCACACGTTTTCATCTCCTCTTCACATGACCTCCTCCAAGTCACTCTTGCACTGACGACCAACTCGCCGCTTCCCTTTCGGGTTCCACTCGAGCAATGGCTTGTTTAGTGATGTCACTTGATGGTTTCCTCTGAGTATGGCCAATCCACCTCCATTTCTTCCTGCCTATTTGTTTCACAATTGGTTCCTGGTTGGTTCTCTCCCAGAGATCCCTGTTGCTGATCTTTTCTGGCCGGCCATCTGATCTTGAGTATTGAGTGAAGACAACTGTTAATGAAGGTCTGTAGTTTGTTTGAGATGCTCTTTATGACGCGCAGTGCAAGTCTCTGATCCGTATAGTGAGTAGCACTGACTTCACATTGGAGTTGAAAATCCGGATCTTATTTTTGATGCTGAGTGCTGTTGACCTCCACGCAGACTTGAGAGTAGTGAAAGCTTGTCTTGCTTTCCCGATTCTTGCTTTGATATCCTCGTCAGTTCCGCCTGTAGTTGAAACGACGCTTTCCAGGTAGGTAAAAGATATTGCTTCTTTCAGGTTCCTTCAACAGGTATTTGACTTACTGTCAATAAGAGGTTAGAGGAAGTAATTCAATGAGATAAAAGAATTAGTTTTTGAAGTGATCTGGTCAAATGTACTACAGTCAACAGTTATAGTATGACATTAGTCTTATTCAGTAAAAGATGAATATATACATATCAAAGGCATAGTAATATCTACTTGAATGGATTCTTCGAAAAGGAAATTTGTCTACATATAAGTGAGGTGTAGGTGTAGGTAGGCTCCAGAGTTGGTAAGCTTATTGGTCTCCAAATTAGAACTAAAATATTGAAATCATTTCGTTGGATCAAAACTATTAGAGATTTGAGAAAAGTGAACTGATTAGTCTTAATCGAGAAGAGTTACTATCCATAAAATGATATTACCAGAAAAGTGATTATTTTCGTAAGCTCTCTCTTTGTTTGATAAAATCAGTGTTGTTAGAATGATGGTGTCACAGGGAGTGTATAGAAATGAGCATGGAAGTTAAGTGTTTTCAGTCAAGCGCTGATGAATTAATTACCATTGAAGACGTGGTTTTCAGCCATTACTGACAATCTTTTTCGGAACAGCGATAGGTTGTAGGCATCCTACTGATTAAAAATGGGTCAGTTTCAAAGCATGTTTCTACCTTTTTATTCTGCAAATCTACACTTGAAGTAGTCTTCAGTTTAAGTTCATAGGTGTTTCCGATTCCTAGATTTCCTACGTGCTCCGGAAAAAAGATTAAATCTTTTTATCAGTAGTAAATAATGGCCATAGCTTATTCACTTCGATCACTGACCTTAATTTGAATGCTTTTAAGTATGTAGTTAATGATACAAATATATCAACATTTAAGCATATGGGTAAGAATCTGTCGTCAGTGAAGATTAGCCAGAATAGAATTTTAAAGTACCCTTTTGTTTGCTTTAGCCTCTTATACCTAACAGATCCTAGCTATGGTATTCATAACTGGACAGAGAGAAAGATCGAACTCATCCTATGTGTAGTGCAAATCATAAGTCAGTATAAGTGTAAGAAAAAATACATCAGCATGGAGCATAACTCTTATTTCTTGTATTAATGCAAAGTCGACGAATCAGTATCGTGCCTTATGCAGAAGTGTATCTATTCATAGCGGTAGACTGAGGTAAAACTGTGCTAAAATGGATAGATATTCATTTCGATAGAGAAAGAAAGGCCACATTTATCAAGGGAACCAAATATATGAAATTTTTGAAAAGATATGCATTCGTTTGTAGGTTGAAGTATTCACAACCACTGTTAAGTAAAGTGTAGTTAACAAGGCAGTTTTATAGGCTTTGAACTTCTTATTATGCTCATTCCCGAAAGAACTGATCGGTGGTATTTGTTTTTCGGGAGGTGAACTGTACAGTTTTTAAGAGTAGGCATCTAAACAAAATCAGGGGTTCTATCCAACAGCAGTAGCTTTCTACAGTGTACGCAAAGAGTTGCTAGTGCTGTCTGGAATAGTTGAAGACTGTGTATCCAAAGTACCCTTGTTAAGAAAACACAACTTTAAGGACATCTTTACTTGTGTAACCGTTTCTCCTTACAAGTCTAGAATGATCTATTTCGGTTAATTATTAGTCTATTATTAATAGATTAGGCTCAGTGATCCTTACCTTTTCTCGTCTTATTGACTGTCTTACAGTAACAGGCAGCGAAATCCATATTCAGTTGATGACGTCACTCATTATCTTTTTATTCTGCTCACCTAATTGTTCCTGTTCCATTCAGTTATCAACAGCATGAGATCTAATAATTATTAGTCAGTTCATGATAAGAAACATAACTAGATGCAACTTATTTACAGAACTTTATTAGAGCTTCCTTGAAAAATAAAAAAGACCACAACTTGTCTGTTCATGAAAAATTAGAAGTATGACTGACGCAATTATGTGAACAACATACCTAATCTTATCATACATAAGGTTTGTTAAGGTTTAAATTAATGTCTCTTCAAGAAACAAAGTCATATTCTATTTATTTTGACAGCTGACTACATACAGTGAATTTATTGACTTGATGCAGAAAAGCATAAATGATCTTCACCTGTTCACGAAATATATCGCATAACTGTTAAACCCACTTCATTTTAAGTCACTAACTATAGTTTATCAACTTCAAAACATAGTAGACTTAAGATTTCTTTAAAAAACCCAAAGTTGAATTTACTGCTTTGTATATTTTCTGAGTCACATTTAGGAGTTCATCCCACTTTTCACAGCTAACTTCTGACTGGTCGACACTCCTATAGCGTAAAAGACGGGCCGAGAAACTAGGCTTATGGATATTCACATCCTTCAGACTACTTTGAAAACTAGAGTTAAATAATTCGTCAGCATGTCTAGTAACTAATGAAGAATAAAAAAGAGTTTGTGAGTTTTAAACAATATTCCATGTTATTTTGTAATTCTGGATGTGT